CCCAGAATTCCTCAGCCAGCTTTGCTGGCTGAGGAATTCTGGGAGTTGAAGTCCACAGGTCTTAAAGTTGCCAAGGTTGGACACCCCTGCTCTACAGCATCTGCTCTCCTGTTCTTTGGAATATACAGAGCCTGTTCCTTGAATGACACCCCCTTTGCTGCCTTTGTGGCTGCTGTCATACAGCTGGATGCCCTCTAGATGCATTAACTAATTGCCCATAAGATCCACTCTTGACTGGGAGAGAGGGCAAATCTGTAGGGCTTCTGGAAACTAGGGAAGGCTGCAGATTTAAAACCAGGAACTGGAACTTGTGGGGTGGGCTTTAAATTCAGTAAAATAGCCTCATTTGCCTTGTGGAAAGTTTGGATCGGGGGGGCGAGTTTGGATCTGACCTCGCCCTCTTGCCCGTTCCTTTCAGAGTTCAAGGAAGCCTTCTCCCTCTTCGACAAAGACGGCGATGGCACCATCACCACCAAGGAACTGGGCACCGTGATGCGCTCCCTGGGCCAGAACCCCACCGAGGCCGAGTTGCAAGACATGATCAACGAAGTGGATGCGGATGGTGAGCAGGGCTCTTACTGGGTGTTGGCTGGGAGGCAGTTTGGGGAGAATAACAATGACAGAGTTTGAAGGGGCCTTGGAGGTCTTCTAGTCCAACCCCCCCGTCCTCAAGCAGGAGACCCTATGCCCATTTCAGACAAGTGGCTGTCCAATCCCTTCTTGAAAACCTCCAGTGTTGAAACAGCTTCTGATGGCTGTCGGGAAATTTCTCCTTAGTTCTTAAGTTGCTTCTCTCCTCGATTAGTTTCCATCCATTGTTTCTTGTGCCTTCAGGTGCTTTCAAAAAATAATTTGACCCCCTCTTCTTTGGGGCATCCCCTCAAATCTTGGAACCCTGCTATCACGTCACAGTCCTTTTTTTCTTTTTCTTTTCTTTTTTTTTCAGGAGTAAGTAAGGAATTTTATTGTAATAAATGTGGGATTCACTTAGACGACTGCAGATAAAACTGGGCTAATCCCTTTGACCGATAGCAGTTAGAAAAACCTTAACCCACCCACGGACTTCCCTAGTATAGTCCTTTTTTTTCACTAAACTAGCCATACCCAATTCCTGCAACTGTTCTTTGTATATTTTAGCCTCCGGTCCCCTTATCATCATGGTTGTTCTTCTCTGCACTCTTTCCAGAGTCCCAGCCTCTTTTTTTACAGGGTGGTGACCAAAACTGGATGCCGTATTCCAAGTGCGGCCTTACCAAGGCATCATAAAGTGGTATTAACACTTCATGTGGCTTTGATTCTATCCCTCTATTAATGCAGCCTAGGACTGTGTTGGCTATTTTGGCAGCTGCAGCACATGGTTGGCTCACCCTTAAGTCATTGTCCACCAGTACGAGAGAGATAAGCGGCTAGAGCATGTCGTTTCTTGTCATCTATGGGGAATCTAAGTTTCTCTGGTGGAGAACCTGGCGTTGGGCGTGCTCTTTCTCGCGACTGGGTAGCAAAGAGCTGTCTTGATTTTATTTCTTTTAGTCAGTTGATCTGACTGATCCTTTCCCCAGGCAACGGCACCATCGACTTCCCAGAATTCCTCACCATGATGGCCCGGAAAATGAAAGACACAGACAGCGAAGAAGAGATCCGCGAGGCCTTCCGAGTTTTCGACAAGGTGAGTTTGCTTAATTGGGTGTGTGTGTGTTTTGGGTGTGTGTGTGTGTGTTTAATCCTCAGGTTATGACCACATTTATGTTGCGAAGTGGAACATCCATTAAGAGAGTTTTGCCCCATTTTACAACTTTTCTTGCCCCCCGTTCTTAAGTGAATCATTGCATTCATTAAGTTAGTCACACAGTCATTAAGTGAATCTGGTTTTCCCGTTGACTTGTCAGAAGGTAGCAAAACGGGATGCTGCAACCGTCGTAAAGACGAGCCAGTTGCCAGGTGCCCGCATTTTGATCGCATGACCGTAAGGATGCTGCAGCGGTCATAAGTGTTGAGACACCATCCTAAAGTCGCTTTTTTCAGGGTCGGACCTAACTTTGAACGGTCACTAAATGAACGGCCGTAAGTCAAGGACCGCCTGTCTCACCTCTTCCCTCTCCTCTCCTCTGCTCTCCAGGATGGCAATGGGTACATCAGCGCCGCCGAGCTGCGCCACGTGATGACCAACCTGGGCGAGAAGCTAACGGACGAGGAGGTGGATGAAATGATCCGAGAAGCGGACATCGATGGGGACGGGCAAGTCAATTACGAAGGTAAGGAGCCAGAAGGCCCTCAGGGCAGCCTCGGGGGTCGAAGACGCACGGCCCGAGAACACGCCGCCTCGTGCAGGCGGCCTCTATTCCAGGCCAATGGTTCAGTATGTCTTTTTCTTCCTGCTGAGCTCTTGAGAACACTGAGGACTAGAAACGGGTAAAGGAAAGGGAGGTTCCTATCGCCCTCTTACAATCTGCATCCAAGAGGAGTATTGCTTTGTTGGTCATGGTTTTGCCTCCCATTTTGGTGGATCAGCCTTGGCCGCTTTTAAGGCGGCTGGCTGGGGGATTCTGGGAGTTGAAGTCCACCCTTCTTTCAAAGTGGCCTACAGATAGATGCAGATTAACAGAGTTGGAAGGGACTTTGTAGATCATCTAGTCCAACACACACACACACACACACACACACACACACACGCCGCCTAAGCAGACCCTACACAAGTAATTTCAGGGCCATTTTTTAAAACCTTTATCCGCATCTTTTGCTAACGAGGACTCCCTGCCTATCAAGGTGACCAGGGAATTGTGGGAGTTGAAGTCCACCCTTCTCCAAAGGGACCAAAGTTTGAGTGACAATGATCTACAGTAATTTCAGGGGCGTTTTTAAAAACTTTTTATCTGCCATCTTTTGCTAACGAGAGCACCCACTGTTAAGGTGACCCCAGGGAATTCTGGGAGTTGAAGTTCACCCTTAAAAGGGGCCCAAAGTTTGAGAGACGCTGATCTATAGGAATTTCAGGGCCAGTTTTTTTTTACTTCTATCCGCATCTTTTGCTAACGAGGACTCCCTGCCTGTCGAGGTGACCCCAGGGAATTGTGGGAGTTGAAGTCCACCCTTCTTCAAAAGGGGCCCAAAGTTTGAGAGAGAGACAGATCTAACTAACAGTGTATATGTTCTCAGAACAACTTATCTAAATTCAGTCAAGGGGGGGAGGAGGGGTGGGGAGGGTCCTTTCGGCAGCCCCTTCCTCGGCAGCCCCTGACGCCCTTCTCCGTCCTCTCTCCTTGCTCCGTAGAGTTTGTACAGATGATGACCGCCAAATAAGACAAGCCGTTGCCTCTCTTCCCCCTCCCCTTCGCTCGCCCGCCCGCCCCCCCACGCCCGTTCCCAGGATGGAAGGATGGCCTTTTTCCCGCCGGGATCTTATCCAGCCCCCACCTGTCTTTTGTCTGTGTACAACTTATGCCCCATTGACGCTTTTTAACAGTTTGTGGCTGTTCCCTGCTCTGCCTCCCTTTCCCCGCCCTCCTCGTGCCCCAAGTGGGGGGGGGGCGGGTAGTCGGCCGGACACAGTGCCCCGAAACCCATGTGGAGAGCGATGGGGCCGGACTAAAGCGCCGAGTCCAGGATGCCTTTGGACAAGCGGTGGGTGGAAAGGTGAGGCTGCCCCCCCCCCCCCCCCCCCGTTCAACCCCTGCCTTGCAACCCAACGGCCTTTTCCCGCCTCCTGCGTTCATGGGACGGTTTTTCCGTATGCAGCCTTGTTGCGTACTTCCTCCATCGGACCGTTGTCTTCCTAGGACTATCTGCATATCTTGGATATATTGTAATTGTTAACCTAATCGATACCATCCTCCCCACCCCGCCCGCTCCAGACCCCCTCCATGGCTTCAGGGAATGCTTCTGTTCCATTCCAGTTGATGTAAAGTTTTCTTTTTATCATTATTTTTTTCCTTCTTTCTTTCTTCTTTTTCTTTCTTTTTGGTTCTTCTTTTAAATAAACTTTGTGTTTCAAATCTGACGGAGCCCATCTGCTTGTGTAGAAATTGTTCCCTGAAGGACGTGCTGCTTTGGGGGTGTTTGGAGTAAGGGGTGAAGGTGGGGGGTGGCTTGTATTTTGCAGTGGCTTAGAAATCAGTTTTCTGAATCGCCTCTTGCCAACTGAAAAAGATTCCATTTCCACCACACGTGACTGCAGCAGATTCCTCGAAAGGGCCATTCGTGGTTTTTCCCTGGGATTTGCCACCTCTCAGATCAGTAAAAACCTTCATTTTTTCAGCCAGCATATCCTCCTTTGGCAGCGAGGGGAGTTAGTCCAGCCCCACTGAAGAGGGTCACTTGAAGGATTTTAATTTCTCTAAATTGCAGGTTGGAGGATGGAAAATCTGGCAGTCCTCCGGGAAGATTGGGAAAGAGAGAGAGAGAGAGAGACTCGTGATAGAACTGGTGAAGCTTTTGAGATTCCATCGAAAGAAAGTTCAGAATGAATGGGTAGATTTGTAGATTTCGGCATTGGGAAGACTCCAAAGTTAGGTCTAGTTTTATTAGCTCTCTTAAGTTTCCAGAGAATGTAAGGGACTGTATGCCCAGTGCCATGAAAGAATGACAATCTGGTATGTCAGGTTTATTTGGATAACATTTGTCATGTATACACACACACACACACAAACACCCCCACCCACACTATACAACCAATAGAAGAGAATATTTCTAGCTCGGGGTTGAACTGTGGGGTCCTGGGTGCGCTCAGCTTGGTGGTTTTCTTGCCGACGTTTCATGACCCAGCTAAGTAACATGATCAGTGTGCTAGGATGGGGTGGGGCTAGCTCATTTTATTAGCTCGGCTCAACCCTGAGCTCTATACATTCTCTTCTGTTGGTGCCCCACACAAGTGTCAGAGGCTGCGAAAAGCACACAATTGGGAGACGTGCATTTAGGCACACCGCCAAGGAACGGCTGCACGGGCGCCTATAAAATGAGAACAATTCCCCCCCACCCTTCCTTCTAGTCCTGATGATGTTACCTAGTTGGGTCATGAAACGTCTGCAAAACAAAAAGAAACAGCCAAGCTCAGAGAACACCAAGTACCCCACAGTCTTCCTCCCTCCCTGCAAACCTCCCTCCCTCCCTCGTACCCCGATGATGTTCCCTAGATGGGTCACGAAACGCCTGGGGGGCGGGGGGGGTGAATCCCAGCCAAGCTCAGAGAACCATAGAGCCAAACATTTCCAAATCTGCTCCATCGGGCCAAACTTGGCCAATGCTTTTCGGTCTTTGGAACGAAACCTTTTTTCTGCAGAGAAAAATTGCCCGAAAGGAATCGGAGAAAGAACCCTTTGGCTTCAGAGGCCTTTTTTTTTATTATTTTCAAATAAAAAATACACAGGGTTTGGTTGCATTTGGGCCAGGCCACCACAACCCCCCACCCCCACCCCAACCTCACCCCACGGGCGGCTCCCGGCCTCTTGTGCTCCTGAAAAGAAGGATGTTAAAAAGGACGCCCTCCACTCGCTCGTCTCCGCCGTGGCACAGAGCGGAGGGCCTTATGGCAGTTAAGACGGACACACATATGTACAGATGCACGCGCGGGCGCACGGATGTCCCTTGCCCAACCGAAGGAGGAGCACCGTAGCTCCCCGCGGGAAGCAGCTGCCAAAGTGAAAAACAAACGGTTGAGAAGGACCACGGGGAACCCCCCCCCCACAGTCAGTCCTCGACTTACGATCACGTTCGAGCCCCATTTTGGTCGCTGAGCGAGACACTGGTGGCTTTTGCCCCCCCGTTTTTACGACCTCCCTTGCCACCGTTGTTAAGGGAATCCCCGCAGTGGATAAGTGAGTGGCGTGGTTGTTAAGTGGATCTGGCTTCCCCGTGGACCGTTGCTGGTCACCAAAGGGAAGAATCGTGTGACCTTGGGACACAGCAACGGTCGCAAGTATGAGCCAGTTGCCAAAGGGTCTGAATTTTGATCACGGGGAGGCCGCAACCGTCGTTAAGTATGAAAAAAGCTCCCCAGTTACTTTTTTTTCACGGGCCGTTCTAGCTTCAAACGGTCACTATATGAACTGTGGTAAGTCGAGGACTGCCTGTATTTTAAACAGGGTTTAAATGGGGCGAAATTAGCAGACCGTTGCTTCCCAAGCGGAAAAGAGATTTTTGTTTCTTTAAAAAAAAATTATATATATATAATGGATCAGAAAATGCCTTGTTAAGTTGCCTGCATTTCCTCCCAACCTCTCGAGCAAGACACCATATCTGGTTCACACGATGCTGGTTAAAGATGGCTTCAGCGGGAGCTGGGCTCAAGAATTCCTCCCTAAATCACCCCGTCTCCCCAGATGTTGAAGCGTTTTAATTCTTTTTTGTGTGTGCAGGGAGAAAAATGGAATGGCGCCCTTCCACTCCCTGCCCGATATTGGGATTTAAAGCACCCACTCGCTTCCTCCTCCTTCACAGACCAGCACAAAAATCGATGAGGCACTTTTCCCATTCCACCTTTGATAAGGGAGATAACCACGGACAACCGCAAAGACTTGAACAAAATATACGGAGTTCAATCCTCAATCATGGGAGTCCGTGGCCACCAAAGTTATTTAAAGAGAGTCCCTGGGGGAGAAAAGATTTAAGAACCACCGGCGTAGAAAAGCAACGTTTCTCGCCCTTGCTAGCTTTAAGATGGAGTAGGCTTCAACTCCCAGAATTCCCCAGACAGTAACAACAACCCAACACTGCCTGGGGAATCCTGGGAATTGAAGTCCACCCACCTTAAAATCCACCACGGGTGAGAAACACCGATCTAGCCATCTGGCACTTTCTTATCCTCAATGGAAACAGTTTTTTCCCAGACTTAAAATTTTTCTCCAAAGTGTCTTATCACTATCCCATTACAGTATAAAAATTATCAGTTTTAAATGGCAGCGGATGCTGGTTCTTTTAAGCGAACTCCAAATACTTTCAAGTATTAATAATAATCCCATTTAATGTCGATTAAACTGGCATCCTACGGGAAAAAACAACAACACTGAACCCATTCTTATTTTTTCCCTTGCTGGGCATTGCTTACACTTTCTCCATTTCCTCCCTTGTTCCCCAAATCACAATACATTGCTAATTGCACTTCCCTTTAAAGTGTGTGTGTGTGTCTCTCCTCCTTCCTCCCTTTTCTCAGGCCCTTGTCTTAATGTTCTTTTTGTGCAATTATACATTTCTGGTTGAGGATTTGACTAGTTCATTATTAAGAAGGCTGCCTCCCATTCTAAATAATAAACTAGTCAAATCTTCAACCAGAAATTCAGCAACTTAAACAGTCCTGACTTCCCTGAAAAGCCCCCTTTTCTTTTTTTTCTACATAAAATACACAATCCTCAAAATGTTTTAGGCAACGTACAGTATATTAAGTATCCAAAAATCTGTGCAATAAATTTATCTTTGGGACACCAAGACATACATTTACAGAGAATAAAAATTCAAAAAGGACTGGGGTTTTTTTTCCTTTCTTTCTTTTTTTGCCCCAGTGGCTTAAGCAATAGGGAATTAAAAAATAATGACAATTAACACTGCTGTAGGAAGATTGGCGAAGAGCTTAAGAAAGCCCCTCTTGTGTTTAATACAACTTTAGATGCTGATAATAATCCACCTCTTTAAGAATTCAATCTCTTTGATTTCGTTAAAGTAAAGGAGGACCTGAGTAGAATTCAGTGGGGTTCTATATTTTTTTAAAAAATGTGTTTCTTCCTATTAAATAAGGGTTTAAATAAAAATCTAATCTCTGTAAGCAAGCCAGTGGACAGAATTCTACTTTATGAAGTGATGTTCTTTTTTCCTCTTGTATATTTCAACGTCCTTTTTAAAAAACAAATCTCCTACTGAACTGGGACAAACGGTGAGTTTCCATCCTCTCTCGCACAAAAATAAAATAAAATAAATTCTATCTCTGAAAGACGCTGCCCTGCACAATCATTCACTCCCATGCTTGCCTTCAATATATATATTTAAACAGACAGACAGAAATTGCTTTCTTAAAAATATACTCTCTCCCTTTCACCCCTACCCCCAAACTGCCTGAGCTTATCGGATTCACCCCCCCCAAAAAAATAGATCTGACTGGATCCTAAGATATCTCCCCCACCCCATCCTGTCCCATAAACTCAAGAGGTGTAGAATCTCTCAAGATTCAATTCTATAATTCTATGATTTAAAGGAGTGTGTTGGGCCATTGAAGAGCCTCTCACTCCCCCCCCCCAGAAAAATATATATATATATACATTTTCCTGACACATTTCCTATTTGGCTTCTTCCTCCGGACACAAAAACAGATCGATGCGTCTTATTCTGGGGTTGGGGTAGGGTGGGTTTTTTTTGGTTTCTCTTACGTATATATACATATATACATACACACAGGTAGTCCTCGACTTAACAATCAACAGCTAGGGCCGGAATTTCCACCGTGAAGCAAGTCTTTTTTTTTTTTGACGTGGTTCTTCAGCAATTTGTTGCAGCTGTTATAAAATGAACCACGTCATTAAGCGAGTCTGGCTTTTACCCCTTGGTCAGAAGCCGGCCGGGATGGACATGTTGCATTCCCAAGTCTCTGCACCCATCGTAAATAGACACCCATTCCCAAGCACCCACATTTTGAACACATGATCGTAGAGGTTGCTAAAAAAAAAACAGTCATAAGCATGAGGACTAAGTCCTACGCCGCTTTTTTCAGTGGTGCTGTAACTCCCGTCACTAAAAGAACAGTTGCTAAGTCCAGGATTGCCTATATATCCCTTAAACCCTACTATCCTCCTCAGAATGAGGGTTTTGCAAACCCATCATGTAACCTGGTTGGTGACGCACAAACTAACCCCTAATCATAGTTGGAATGGCTTAGCGCAGGGGCCCTCAAACTTGGCGACTTTAAGGACTTGTGGACTTCAACTCCCAGAATTCCCCAGCCAGCCTGGCTGGCTGGGGAATTCTGGGAGTTGAAGTCCACAAGTCCTTAAAGCCGCCAAGTTTGGAGATCCCTGGCTTAGCGTGACGTCTGAGCCCAAACGTTAAAAAGTTCTGCATCAGACAGAAGGAGTGTACAGGGATCAAAAAGAAAAAAGTACAGTTAGTCCTCAACTTCCGGCTGCAATTAAACCCCACATTTTCTGTCGCTAAGCGAGATGTTTCCATTTCACGACATTTCTCGCCACCATTGTCGAGGGAATCCCTGCAGTGGTTAAGTTACAACCCTGGTTGTCAAGCGAATCCGGCTTTCCCCTCATGGACAGATCAGAAGGTCGCCAAACACTGCAACCGTCGTAAGTGTGAGTCAGGTGCCAAACGTTTTGAAGCGTCGCCGTGTGAGCATGGGGATGCTGCAACCATCACAAGTGTGAAAAACGGGCACAAGTTGTTATGGTCACTGAATGCGCTGTTGTAAGTCGAGGACTACCTGTGTAGCAGGAGGAAATATTCTCCTTTTCTTCTCCCGAATGCGGTTTGGGCCTTAGAAGGAACAAATCCCTTCCTATCAACAGCTTATACAAAAAAAAATAATAAAAAAAATTAAATGCTACCCATCCTTAATCAAATCCCTCTCTTAAAATAATCTCAGGTTTGGATTGCAAAACCGCAGCTGGCCACCAGGGGGCCATGGGTGAGAGGACTGCTTGCCCTCTGCTGGTGGCTTGGAAAACTGCAGCCTTTGTCCGCCAGGGCCTTAATTCATATTCCCTCTCCGGCCCAATCAAAGGGACCAGCCAGCTCACTCCCACCTTGCATGCAGAAATGCAGCAGATCGGTTAGGGAATAAAATGACGACACCGCCTCCCCCCCCACAACATTAAAAAAAAAAAAAACCCACTTGAAGTAGCAACATCTCCCTGGCTGCGTCCTTGTGGAATCAAGATGTAGATTTTGGCTTGGAAATTGAGGGGGGGGAAGGTTCCCCTTTCCAGCCATCCGAACAGGGTGGCCCAAACCTCCCCAAATCTTTGCCTATAACAACCCCTGGATTTCTCTGCCTTTCCGACAGAGAACTGCCCCCCCCCCCAAAAAAAAACCACAACCCCATTCTGAATGAAGCTATCACATCATGGCGGGCTGGAAATGAGGGGGGAACAGAAGCCAGGCTCCCCGACGCTTCCCGAGACAGCAACATAGACAATAAATACCCCCTTTGCCCCCCTCCAGCGTTTTCAGTGCTCGGGCCCCTTCTCTCCCCCCCCCCCTCCCCGCTGCTACGAGGGGGGGTCGTGGCGAATGGTGGGGATCTTGGCTTTGGGGGGACGGGAGGATGAGCCCGAAGAAGAGGAGGAGGAGGAGGAACTGCTGCTTCGGCGACCTTCAGCACCGGTGCTGGACATCTTGAGCTTACGGCGTTTGGCCAGAGGGGCGTTTTCCACGCTTTTCAGGAAAAAGCCTTCGCGCTTCCCCTTGTTGAAGGCCTAGATGAGAGAGAGAGAGAGAGGGAGGAGAGAAGAGAGAGAGAAAGGAAAGAGAGAAAGAAGAGAGAGGAGAAAAGAGAAGAGAGAAAGGAGAGAGAGAAGAGAGAAAGAGAGGAGAGGAGAGAAAGAAGAGAGGAGAAAGAGAGGAGAGAAAGAGAGAAAGAAGAGAAGAGGAGAAAAGAAAAGAGAGAGAGGAGAGAGAAGAGAGGAGAGAGAGAAAGAAGAGACAGGAGAAAAGAGAAGAGAGAAAGGAGAGAGAAGAGAAAGAGAGAAGAGAAAGAGGAAAGAGAAGAGGAGAAAAGAGAGAGGAGAGAAAGAGAGAGAAAGGAAAGAAAGAAGAAAGAGGAGAGAAAGAAGAGAGGAGAGAGAGAAAGGAGAGAGAGAGAGAGAGAGAGAATGTGAGTTTAAGTTAAGTTTATTTTTTTAAAATCCAAAGAAGGATTCGCTTCTTATTTCCTAAATGTGGTTTTTCCAACTTTTTAAGAACCGTGATTTGCACGGCCAACTGTCGAGGCCTCCTCTGGTTTCAAAATTGACCCCAAAAACAAACAGTTCTTGACTTACCAACAATTTATTTAGTGACTGTTCGAAGTGCTAGCAGCACTGGAAAAAAAAATGACTTGTGACCATTTTTGACATGACCTCGGCAACATCCCCGTGATCAAAGGTCAAAACACTTGGCAGTTGACTCATATTTATGATGGTTGCAGTTTCCTGGAAATTCACTTAATAACCATGTTATTCACTTAGCAGCTACAGTGATTCCCTGAAACAACTGTGGCCAGAAAGATCATAAAATTGGGAAGAAACTCACTTATCAACTGTCTTCGCTTAGCGACAGAAATGTTAGTCAGAAGTCGAGGATTACCCTGTACTTTTCGGTCACGACTAGAAGGTCCTTCCAACTCGTTAAAAAAAAGGATTAAACATCCAGTCCAGAGCTACCAAAAATGGAACCCATTAAATCAAATGCTTTTACAATGAATTCAGTAATAAATACAATTAATTAACCAAGGAGAGAAGCAATTTAGAACTAAGGTGAAATTTCCCGAGAGTCAGAACAATGAATCAGTGGAACAGCTTGCCTCCAGAAGCTGCGAATGCTCCAACACTGGAAGTTTTTAAGAAGAGATCGGATAGGCATTTGTCGGAAGTGGCGTAGTGTTTCCTGGTTGAGCAGAGGGTTGGACTAGAAGACCTCCAAGGTCCCCCTTCCAACTCTGTTATTCTAATTAACATGAACAGGGACTAAGCCTGTTTTTAAGACACGGCCGATCATTTTTTGCAATTTTGCCTCCTCCAAAGAGAAACACGGGTGGGATTCAAAAATCCCAACAACTGGTTCTCTACTCTACCCAGTTGCTGGGTCGGCGTGGGCATGGTGGGCATGGCCTACCAGAACTCCTGGGATGGCCATTTTTCACCTTCCCCAGAGTCCCGAGGCTTCCCTCAGGACTCTGGGAAGAGGGGAAAATGGCCTCCCCTGGCTCTGGAAGTCAATTTCCAGATTTCTGGAACTTCCAGGAGGGCCATTTTTCATCTTCCCCAGAGTCCTGAGGCTTCCCTCGGGACTCTGGGAAGAGGGGAAAATGGCCTCCCCTGCGCTCTGGAAGTCAATTTCCAGATTTCTGGAACTACCAGGAGGGCCATTTTTCGCCCGGACACTGCACTCGCCTGCATCCAAAGCAGGCTGCGTTCAACCACCGTTTTGCCGAACCAGATGTCAATTTAATATCTGGTTCTCCTGAACCGGCCCGAACCGGCTAAATCCCACCCCGGTGAGAAATCACAGTCGTTTCTAAACCAGAGATTGCTTTGGGGGGGGCCCTGGATAGTTTTTTTAGATGGCCCTCAGGGGCCTTCTCCCTTCTCGGAGGGCCCCTCTCCCATATAACCACGCTTCATCCCATCCGTCCCCTCGGAAAAAATCACACACACCCCCAGCCTCAAAACGGGTACGCTCACCATAAACGTCACATTGACGCCAGTTCTCACGGCGGGCCCGGAGCTCTCCAGGATGTCCGGCGTCATGAGCGGCGTGGACGAGAGGGCGCTGCCATCTTGGAGCCACTCGCTGTAGCGTAGGTTGGACAGTTTCAACCGCTTGGCCGGATCCACCGTCAGAAGACCTGGACGACGATGGGCAGATGAGATTTAAACCACCCAACAAAAAACACCCTCTCAGCAAACAAAACGGTGCCTTTTGTTTTTTCTTTCAATTTTACTCCTCTTCCTTTACTACTTCGACTTACAAAACTTTCATTCAAAGTTACGGCGGCGCTGCAAAAGATGAGCGGTGGTCGGTTTTCACACTTACGACCTTCCCCTCCTCGGGTCAGGTGTTCCAAATTCAGATGCTTGGCTCACACTTACGACCGTTGTCATGTCCCAAAGTCAAAGGATTCCCTACTTTTGTGACTTTCTGCCAAGCCGGGTCAGTTGGGGAAACCAGATTTGCTTATCCATGGTTTTTTTTCCAGGGCCGTCGTAACGTCAAATGGCCGCTACATGGAACGTCCGTAAGCTGAGGATTTCTCTATAGTAAAACTGAAACCCCTTTGCGGCTTGTGCCCCAAAAAGAAAGTTCTTCTGCTTCTTCTAAGCAGAAGTTGCTCAGCTGGCGAAACCTCCATTTCCTTCCTGCCGTGTAATGGAGGGTTTTTCCACAAACCCAAAAGCTTTTGGCTTTGCACAACATGCCTGAACCTAGTTAACCTGCTTTCTACACCTCAAACACACGTTTAATCGTAAGCTCGCCCAAACAGGGCTGGGTTTGCACAGCACACGCTAAAGCCACGGTGGCACCATGGTTAGAGTACAGTACTGCAGGCCCTTCCTTCCTTCCTTCCTTCCTTCCTTCCTTCCTTCCTTCCTTCCTTCCTTCCTTCCTTCCTTCCTTCCTTCCTTCCT